TGGATCCAGGAGGACCCCCAAGTTGCGTACCCTCTCCGAGGGAGCCAGAGTTTCGCCCCCTATAGTCAGCGATGGAGTCAGCTGACCATACCTGGGAGCCGGCAACCACAGCCACTCAGCCACTTGTAAGGAATCGTTATTATATTATTAAAAGTCATTATATAATCATTAAAGTAATGCCCAAGCAGTATACTAAATAGAATAACATAAAATACAAGACATAGGGAAACGATTTCAGTAAAATAATATGGCAGCATGCATCTCTATAATGAATTTTGATAAAATAATAATACCCCTGATATGGAGTAAAAGGGAGGCCTGAGCAAAAAAAAAGTTTGTGGGCATTAGAGTTGGAAAAAAGAGTTACCGATATGCTGAGGGGAGAGGTGGGGGGGAGCAGTCAAAGGCACAGAAAGGAATGCAACAAACTGGAAGGAATAGTGTGGAACTGTTTTTAAATCATTATCTTTCTTTCTGATTGGCAGCTAACCACACCACTCAGTGTCATTAAATTGAAGGTGAGACTGATATACATGCTAATAATATAATATAATAATAATTATACTTGATCAGGGGACAAAAATCCCATAATCTAGTCTAAATACCTGGCTGACTATGTGACCAACTATAATAATATATTATCCAGAATTTTGTGTCTTTCTTATCAATAGTTGTTAACTCTGGTGTGTTGTGTGGTAAATGCTTGTCTATTTGAATTTTAAAGTCCCAGAGCACTTTAGCTTCTTCATTTTGTAGTCCTACTAGTTCTTGCATTGTAATACCTGGAGACAGCACATAGAATAAAAAGAATTGGACAAATTCACAAAATACAAAGACCTGCAAATAGAAGTAGAACGGCAATGGCAAGAGAAAGCAAAGATGGTACCAATACTATTAGGCACTTTCAGTGCAATTGCAAAACACCTGGAGCACCACTTGAATATCATTGGCACTGACAAAATCATCAATAGTCAAATGCAAAAAGTAGCTTTACCTGGAACATCCTGCGACAATACCTTTACACCATCAAAACAACATCTGCCTATCTCAGGTCCTTCAAAAAGACTTAACAAGTAGACAAAAATGACAAAACCTGTCTAAAAATGTGGCTGACTGTGCAACCAACCATAATGTATTAAACTTGTATGCTGCCCAGTTCTCAAAGACTCTAAACAAAGAAATGACAAATCAGTAAAACACAAAGCATACAAAGTACAACCTGGGCTACTGAATGTTAACAAGCCTTTCCCTGGAAAGAAGCAGGAAATATCAGTTGAAGGAATGTGATTCAATCATAACCAAGAGATATTTCTCAACCAATCAATAGCTATAACTGAACAAAGGGGACCTATTTTTGTAAAAGAGCAAAGGATTGTTGTCTTCTAGGCTGTGCTGGGTGCATGAAAATAGGAATTCGTAGATTAACAACAGTGACATGGTATACTCCAGTGACTGGAAGAATTAGAGATTGGTTTGGGGGGAAATGATTCAATGTACTTGAATGAATATAATAAGGGGGAAAATTACAGTGCAGTCCAGAAAAGTGACTGGATTCGTCAGAGACCCAAGACAGAGATATAAAATGGTGATGAGTGAGGATTTGCTTAGAAAAAGTTCTCTATTTGGAATATATGTTATTCCATATGTTAAAGGGGGAAGGGATAAAAAAAAGTATCTATAGGAGTGGGAATTTATAAAAATAACAATTATCAATTGTCAAAAGTGGAATTAAATGCTATAAATATTTCAACTTAATTCAATTTAAAATAAATAATACTTAATTCAATTTAAAATAAATAAGAATGTTGAAAAATGGTAAGGTTACAATTGTAGATAGTTTACCTCAGACATGTCAAACACAAGGCCCGGGGGCCGGATGCGGCCCGCGAAGTGGTTTCATGTGGCCCGCGAAGCCATCCTGGAAACAGTGCGGGAACGGCCCCCACTGCCCTGGCCCTGGCCCAGGACGGCCGGGAGCCAATGTACAATTTTGTGGTGGCCATCTATGCTGAAATGCATTCAGTCTTAGCTCCACAAGGCCATCTAGAAACAGCAAGGAACCAGCCCCTGCCGTGTCGGCCCTGCCCCCTGGGTCCATGCTGGGGAGGTGTCACCCTTTGTGAGGAATGAAGAAATGGACCATGCCTTGGCGCTTGCCCCGGTCCCACCCCCTTCTGCCAGAGACCCTCAGATCTGTCCCACTCCTGCCCAGGCCCCCACAGGCACCCTTGACACGAACGATGTAGAGCTGGCCATGCCCACCCAGTAGGCCGCACCTACCCTGGCCACACCCACCCGGCCCCCCGAGGGCAACTGCAATGCTGATGCGGCCCTCAATGAAATTGAGTTTGACATCCCGAGTTTACCTGGAGGAATGATAAATTTGAGGTATGATTTGCTTGTGAAGTGGCTGAATGATTTGTGTAAAGCAGGTGTGAAGGCTGCATCTCTACTTGACATTTGGAAGAGTGCTAGTACGAGTCCCCTATGCAAAGGGAAGAGAAACAAGAGCGAGTGTACAAATTATGATGGGTTTAATTTGTTAAATATGCTTGGGAAGGTGTTGGCAGAATTCTAATGAAGGGTTAGGAGAGGTAAAATTTGCATCCTTAGGTTTGGAAGGGAGAACGTTGACCAGATGTTTGCTCTTCAGCAAGTCATTGAGAAATATAGGAATGTGAAAATGTTTATTGTACATTTGATAATTTAGAGAAATGATAAATGAAATTTTCAGACATTTATGTGAGACTGGAATTGAAGGTTGGTTGTTGAATATAATAAGGGCAGTATATAATGAAAGCATTACATACTGTCCTTGGAAGCATCTGTAAGAAGAAATGGTAGGCTTACAAATGGTTCAGCATTAAGTAGGGAATAAAACACAAAAAAGTACATGTTTCAATCTGTGAGTAATGTTATTTATGGATATACATATAATGAATGCTTATGGTGGCATTGGAGATGTGTTGATTGAGGATGTAAACACTTATAAGCTTTTGTATGAAGTTTATGTTGGGTTGTATTTATGCTGTGTTATGATAAGATAAAATTATTTGCTGTAAATGTTAAGAGTCTCTCCATGTGCTATCGTGTATTGCAAACCAAGGTAATTGTGTTTGACAAGGAAGGATGGAATGTTTTAGGTTATAGGTAAATGGCAAAAATCTAGAAGAAGGAGATGAATTTCTGTATATTAAATATTGTCTAACATAGTACTTACTAAATGGGGAATTGAAAGGAGAAATTTGAAGAAAGATAATGGGTTGGTAGAAATGTTTTTCTCCAAAAGTAAAAATGGTTGTGTATAAAAGTGTGCTTCTTCTCCTTTGTTATATGAAAGTGAGAATTGGTAATGTCAGAAGACAATAAAAGTAACTTGAATACAGTAGGGTCTAGAGCAAACAGGAGCTGAAAAGCACATGGATTGAATACAAAAGCAAGTGACACATATCAAATAAGTGCGTAGGCGTGTTTGTATGAAGAGAACGAATGAAGATCAAATTGAAAAATTAAAAAAAAGGAAGACTGAAAGGGTCAAGAAGCAGAATGAGAAATCATGATTGGATGGAGTATTGTGATCACCCCAAAGAAAGAGGCAAGAATTTTAAACCACAAAAGGCAACATACAAAGCAATGATTCACTGCTGTAAAAGCAACCATGGTTGGCAAGGCTGGCATGATATGGAGAAGTACAGTGCACGAATAATTTTGTTATATAAGCTAGGTTTAGCTTATTTTTCTTTCCTTTCTTGTTCAATGGATTTAATTTCTTTGACTTATTCTTCTTACTCCTTTTCTGCACTTTGCATAATATTGCTTACTTTGAAAAGGGCTGGTGTGATGTTTATACAGACATCTACTCTAGAGTTCATATGAAAGCATAGAAAATATAATCTTCTATGTATTCTGGTGAATATATTCATTTAAAAATGAATGTGTGTTTCTAAAGAAGCTGAACTCAATTTTCTATGCTTGCATCTGTTGTGGCATTTTTATAGTTTTAAAATGTACTTTAATAATGGTAGGATCACTAACAAAAACACAGAAGTCAAAGGAATTGTTGAATAAAATTTCCAGATGTAGGGAAAGACGAAGCCAGTGTCTTACAATATTAAAGATTCAACAATACATGGTAGACATTCATAATGTGTTATCTTATTAAATTAATTAAGAATTATACAAAACAAACTTATCAAAATCATAGACAATGAATAACATAATAATTTGTTGTTTATCTGCAGTTTCAAAACAGAATAAATTAAGATGATTACTATGCATCCCTAATCATACTCTAATCTTACAAATTGGTTTTTTATCATAATAAATTATCCCAAATGTTTCTTAGACATTCATCCAGCAATGGATGATTATTATTGCTTAAGTGTTTTGTTCTCCTTGATATAGTTGCCACAACAAGATCAAAATAAATGTTTTTCCTCTTGGGATGAAGCATATAAAGATATGCACACACAGTCACAGATACCAATTTAATCATGGCTAAATTTGTTCCATCAACTTAAAAGGCACTACAAAATGAGCAATTTCCAAACCAAAAAACATATTAGCATCTATTATATTTGTTGTTATCCTTCTGCACAGATTCCTAATCTCTGTATGGGTCTGTGCCCATACTACAGCTTTTACAGTATCATTAAATTTAGTACTATGATACACATATTTTCTTAACATTTATTAATATTCCCACATTCTAATGTGTTTTAGAAATATAAATGTATTTTATATTAAATTCACTATTATTCTATTTTCAGTGTATTCTTTTTGATCCTCACCTACACGAACCACCAGCTTTTGTCTAGATGTTAATTCTTTCTTAACTGAAAGCAGTAAACTCTATTCAAACATTATGTATACTGATTATTATTTGTCCCAATTATTTCAATAGGTAGCCAAATGTCCTTACAATAAAATTGGGGCAATAATACTTTAAAAGAGTATTTATACCATAATCTATTACAGAAGATCAATTCCTTAATTCTAGAGTATAAGGAGTGAAATTTTACTCAAATTATGCTTAATCCCATATAATTGATTCTTTGTATGCATAATAGGCATTTATATAATGTTCATACAAATATTAATTGGAAATTTCCCAATAACTGTTATTTACTGTACATGATCAGGAATTCATATCCTAGAAGAGAGATTTTTGACATGATTATCAAAGTTTGCAAACTGCCATAGATTAAACTACTTTTTGTCTCAATAATATTTTTAAATGCAGTAGCTTTTGTGTATCGGAAGATGAATATTAAAAAGAGACACTTCAGAGTAGGCAGTAGCTTTTTAGATAGCTGTAGTTAGTGGGAAATGTTCCATTTACTTCTCTGTTTTTTAAATATAAATTAATATTAATTAAAATTAAATGACACTAAATCTGATGAATAGGATACAGATTTAGTTCTGATTACAGTTAGAACCACTGAAATTGAGATATTTCATTTAAAATATAGTAGATAAAATTTAAGATTTAGAATTTTTTTTATTCAGACATTTTATTGATCTCACTGGGCCTACTATCTCTTATATCAAGAAATAATATTCCAAGTTCCCAAAATAATTTTTATAGCCTGAAGATCTGTCCTTGTAAGTTTAGAAATCTAGTTCTACCGGTGACGGTTTTAGCCTCCTCCCATGAAGGCCAAAGTGTGTAGATTGTGTTAATCAGTGAGTTGTGAAAACAAGAATGCTTTATTTTAATGGTGTGGAAACACGTTTCAAAATTCCATATTAATTCACGTGTTTTAGAATCTGCTAATGCACCTGAATCTGACTGCCAAATGAAGAGATGCTTTAATTGAATATGCTTTCATTTTACCAATTTAGGCAATCCAAATTACTTTTGCAATTACTCATGATTTAAAAATCCAATTGACAATAGAAGGATCCAGAGTATTAATATTCCTATTTGCCTGTGATTTCAAAAGAAAATGTGTCCTCTGCTATTTTGAAAACCAGAATTGTCCCGGAGCATCAGCTTCTCATGTAAATAAGGGTCAAAAATTAGGCAACCATCCCAGCATCTTCCAAATGTGCTTTGTAGCTTTTAATGCAGGAAATATAATAGCAGGATAGAAACGCCTAATAGAGGGAGTGGGAAAATCAGACCAGGGTTAAGGAAAGAGTGAAATTGCAAATGCTGCTATTTCTAAAGTCCCCTTGGTTCATTCCACCCATGGTGGTCAGTGAGTGGGGGTGGCACCTCATTGTTTTTCTTCAATAACTCTTTTCCAAAACATTTAGAGATCATGTTTTGCATATGGACGTTGGTTTCAGAAGTAACTTCATACTGGAGTTGCTAAAATGCTTTGGATCTTGCTCAAGCACGTCTCTTCTCTGTTAGTAATTGAATCAGCCAAATTCTTTTTTCTGTGCAAGCCTAAAAAAAATGCAACTGCTCAAAGGAATCTACTCATTAAAGTTAATGCATGTTTTACCGCAGCAGGAGGTTTTGCTGAATTGTATAGATTTGTATTTCGATTTTTTAAATGATGTTTTAATACTTGGTGCTGCCTAGAGTCATTTGTTTTGGTGGCCTTATAAATCCAATGTGATGTTGGTGCTATTGAAATGTAGTGTTCCTTCCAGGTTTCAGTTGCTTCTGAAATATTTGCAAAGCATTCAAAGCCCTTGTACTTACTTACTTGGGGATCGAAATTCTTAGACTCATGATTTCCTTTTGAGTGGCCCCCTTTTTATTAATTACTTCCAATATGTTTAATTTGACAACATTGCTAAACACACCAGGTTTTTAATCTGTTCAGACAACACCTCTGTAAAGTCTCTAAACTGCTTATCTTTTCACTGCTTGGAAGTTACGGATGCATTGACAAACACGGCCCCTTTAAGAACAGCAAGGCCGGTACTAATGAGTGGACCAATGACCCGTTCAAGGGTTACAGCACAGAGGCAACCAGTTATATAAACTAACTCCCGGATCCGGCATTTTTTACACTCTGACGATGTTGGTAGTTTGGCCGACGAAAGCTTAGTACTTTTTGTAGATTAAACAGCTTTGGTTTAAGATTTTTATCCTGGTGTTCGGATACTTTTATTACTGCCACGATATGTGTATACCCGGGATTCTTGTTTTTAATGTTATTAAAGATATGTATGTATGTATGTATGTATGTATGTATCTCCAGGTCTTTAAGATTCCTGAAGCTTGTTGTTTTTATTTGCTAATCTTTTTTCACTTCTAGCATCTTTATTCAATTTCCACTGAAGTTAGTATGTCTGGTTTGCAGCTGTCACGCTTTAGAGATTGATCCCAAAATACTCTTTCCAAACAAAAAGCCCATCAGACAGAGACCAGGATTGAATTAATACTCCACTGTGATGAAGATTTTTTTTTTAATACAGAAAAACAAAGAAGCTCTACCTGCAAAAGCCAAGCACAAATATTGCACTTTAGAAAGAACTAGATTGGAAATGGTTCATTCAGAAAACCTAATAGCTTCTTGAGTCTTTTCCTATCACACCTGTCAGGTGCAATTGAATCTTGCACCAAGCTGTAATTATTTAGGCTCATCTTATTCAGTCTGCATTGGGATTGTCACACTACTGATGCAGATGAGAAATTAGAAAACATTTAAAGTAATATCTCATAGACGTTCTTCTTTCTTGTTTGTAACTTACAGCAAAAAGAAGGTCAGTTCAGCATGTTGCAGCTAGTTGGCATGTTGCGGGGCATAGCAGCAGGCATGCGTTATCTCTCAGATATGAATTATGTTCACCGGGATTTGGCTGCCCGCAATATCCTGGTCAACAGCAACTTGGTTTGCAAAGTATCAGATTTTGGCTTGTCAAGATTCTTAGAAGACGATGCTTCAAACCCAACCTACACTGGGGCCTTGGTAAGTTCTTATACAAGAAAATACTTTTTCATGAATCTGTAATAATCAGGCAGGATTCTGAGTTTGCATTGTGCTACATTTAAGTGTTGCCTTATTTGTATTTATCAAATTTACTTGCCACCCGTCTCGTGGTTCAGGCAACTCTGAGCAGACCGTCTCTGGGTCTTCTGCTAAAGTTGTTGTCAGTCATCTAAACAAAGTGAAAAATATGATTTATTTCTCTTTATACTGAAGAATTAGGTACATTTTAATGGTATTTGTTTTTTAATTTATACCCCACCTTTATTATTTTTATAAACAACTCAAGGCAGCGAACATAGTCTTTCTTTGGTTATCGCAAGTTTTCTTTAATGAAGCTGCCATTGTTTTGGAATGCACTCTATAGGAATTTTAGTTCTGCTACTAAAATCAGTAGGAATCTCTTTCTGCTCTGCTAAAACTATTAACTGACTTTTTTAAAAAAAATCTAAGCACTGACTTAATTTCAGTGGACTTGTTTTGAACTGAGAGCTGTTTGATGCATGCTGCTCTTCTTTTCCTTTAAAATTATAGGGTGGCAAGATTCCCATTCGTTGGACAGCTCCAGAGGCTATCCAGTACCGCAAATTTACATCCTCAAGTGATGTCTGGAGCTATGGTATTGTAATGTGGGAAGTCATGTCCTATGGAGAGAGACCCTACTGGGACATGTCCAATCAAGATGTAAGTTTTAATGTGGCCCAAACACTAAAAGAACATGCTTTGAACTAGACATTTACTTTTTGGATAGCATTCATGTACCGGTATATGCCAATGGGAGCATGTCCTTATGCCGTTCTTCCTTTGTTGTTAGGTAATCAATGCTATCGATCAGGATTATCGTCTTCCACCACCTCCGGACTGCCCTACTGTTTTGCACCTGCTGATGTTGGATTGTTGGCAGAAAGAACGGGTCCAGAGGCCGAAATTTGAGCAGATAGTCAATGCCCTAGACAAGATGATTCGCAAACCATCTGCTCTCAAAGCGACTGGCACGGGAAATAGCAGGTAGGAAGAGAGCATCAGGGAAGTGTGTAATCCACAAATTGGAGAGGATGATAGAAAAGCTGTGTTTTGAAATGTAGAGATCAGGTGTAACTTCTAGGTATTAACTTGGAATCTGATGTTTCCTCTGGACAAAGAAAACAGTAATCAAAAAGTTCCTGATACCTGTTATACATGTAGAGTCAACATAAAGTATGCAAACTCTTCTTAAATGGAATCCTGTGTTTAAATACTTTACAAGGGATAAAAAATAGTGAAGGGAATCAAATGCACGGACACTGATAGCAAAAAGCCAGTAAAGGCAGGAGTAAATGCATTTGTCAGGATGGGAAATGTTTTGTAATAGTCATGGCAGATGAGACCTGGATTTCCTTGGGGAAGAGGAGAATTCCTTGGATTTGAGGAAGAGTTTGGGAATCTAAGCTATTCTGGATAGGTCTTACGCTGCAATATATGAATATTTCCCACTACAAAATGCTATTATCAGTTTTGAGCAACTGCAAAAAGAAGTGTCTTGGAGGGCCTTAGGTTTCTCATCACTGATGTACAGTATCTAGGGGTGATATATATATATATCGCCCCTATATAGGCAGACAACTAATTTCTTCCTTTTACCCATAGAAGCCAAAGCTTATCTCTTGTTTCTAAGTCTTCATCAGTAGCATCACATTCTTTCCCAAGTTTATATCCATGTTAGCTTGAAAAAAAGCAAATATTATAATATATAATTATAATATATAATATATAATTATAATTATAGCCATAGCTACATTTTGCATTGCTCTAACATTATCCTACAACACATAATGAAAGTAAATTAGTATTATTTTTTCTTAATTGCTAAAAGAAGAAGTGCGATTCAAAGGGAAGAGAGTTCATAAAAGGTGAGATAAGGTGGAAACAAGAGTACTGTGGCTCATAGCCTACTCTCAGCCCACTATGCAGTACAACGACGATTGTTATTTTGCTCTATTAATAGAGTTCTTGATTTCAGATTCTGTGTTTATTAAATAAATAGCTGTATGGTAGGCAGTTAAATTAGAACAATTCTTGAAGGCAATGGCTTGTGGGTTGAGCAAGGTGTGGGAACTGATCACAGTATCTAATGAGCAAAGGTGAAAACATGAAATTGGTAAAGAGAGGTTTGCCTCTGTTGGTGATGAGGTGATTGTGGAACCTTCTCAACAAAAGATGATAATAATGCTTTAGAAATTCCTACGTTCCCATGTGTTTTTCCCAGCTTTATACAACTAAAATCTTGGGGTCAACAAAGAGGAGTTCCCTGGGGAAAGATGCAGCCAAGATTAGATGGATTCAGAAGTAAGAAAGGAAGTCCATCTTGTTGGCATAGAAACATTTTCCCATGGGTATCACAAGCTTTCATCCAGACCCGGGAAAGAAGAGAGAAATCCTTAGTTGTACATAGGAGGTTTTTTTTGTTTTTAAAAACAACTTTGAATGCATAAAGGTGCCTTTATTTCTGCCCAAAATTATCAGAGAAAGAAAAGCAAAACATAGAATATTTTAGAAGAGGAATAACAGGAGCCTTCTTTAGTAACATGGTTTAAATTCCATTTAAAACCTCTTCAAGTATCAGGTGCACCTGTAGAAAGCACAAATAAAACCCATCTAAGACCTCAGGGCTGCTTGGCAGATGTATCTGGCAGAACTGAGGTTGGCAGCAATTCCCTGTAGTGTGTTTTGCATGTTTCAAAAGTCACATACTTTGCCACTTCTCCTGAAGCATTTTGAATGGCTGATGCTGAACATATCTCAGTTTGTTCTTGTGCTCTTTGAAATGTCCCTCTTCTTTTCTTCCTTATAGACCGTCCCAACATCTACTAAGCAACTCGCCCCCAGACTTCCCTTCACTCTCCAATGCCCATGAATGGCTGGATGCCATTAAGATGGGACGTTACAAGGACAACTTTGACCAAGCTGGCCTGGCTACATTTGATGTCATCTCACGCATGACTTTAGAGTAAGAACTATATCTCTTATTGTGTGGCAGTACGATTGAGTCTGCAGAGGAGCACAAGTTTGGCTTTCATGGATATACCTGCATACTCTTTGTGTTTTTACAATTACAGTATATCATTTGTATTTGTATACTTAAGAGAGAAGAGAACATGGGTCAAAATGTCCTCCAGTTCAGGTGTGATTTGAGGTATTTCTTCTTCAAGAGAATAGGAAAAAATGAGTCATCTTTCTCAAAAGAAGGATCATATCTTTCTGAACAGCTATTACTCACTAAAAGTGTTTCAACGTGGACTATGTGTGCAGAATTGGATACTGTTTCTCCCTAAGTGTGGGAAATGGGGAGCATATTTAGCAAGAAAGTATACTATGACAAGCCAGATAATTTTCATTTATCAAATGTCAGCACATATGATTGCAATTTAAAGCCTGATGCCAAGATATGATAAATTTGCCTATAAAACAGTCCATTACAAATGTATAATATTATACTATAATATTATAACATTTTATAATTTATATTTATAAAATATATTATAAATTTAGTTGAATAAATTTAACTTCTATGGGATATATTTTTAATCTTTAAATCTAGCCTATTCAGAAGCCCTGAATTCCCACCTAAATATTACCTAGATCAGGGGTAGGCACCTGTGGCTCTTTTATGACTCGTGGACTTCAACTCCCAGAATTCCTGAGCCAGCCAGCATGGGAATTCTGGGAGTTGAAGTCCACGAGTCATAAAAGAGCCACAGTTGCCTACCCCTGATCTAGATGATCTCACTTATTTTTCAAGCCCAGATAAGGTTGGCCAGCTGCTGTTATTCGGCGAGGCCACACTTTGATGTACTGCAAGCACTAAGGAACTGTGAAGCTAGAATGTGTGATTTTGGAAATTCAGATAGAACCAGGATTCTTGGGAACGGTAATACAACAACATATAGAGGTCCACACATGACCCATCCCTGATTTAGAATATGTTTTTGCATTCTCTTGGTGAGCATTAGCTGTTGAGCTTCCAGTACTATTACTCAACATTTTATTTATTTATTTAAAACATTTATATAGCCCTGGTGCTCTCTCAGCTTGCTTGTTTTCTTGCAAACATTTCATTACCCAAACTAGGTAACATCATCAGTGCTAGTCAGTACTAACACTGATGATGTTACCTAGTTAGGGTAATGAAACGTCTGCAAGAAAACAAGCAAGCTCAGAGAACACAAAAGACGCCTCATTTCAACCCTGAGCTACAAATATCCTCCTTCGTTGGTATTTATATAGCCACCTATCTTTCAGCCAAGTATGGGCAGCTCCCAATCAAAAATTAAAAGGCCTATAAAATCATTTTAAAAACTATAAAACATAACTGGTCAAAACATAAAGCATTAAAACAACAAACCCATGTTAACATGCCATCATTTAAGTATCTTGCTAATATAACCTAAGTTCCCTTCTATGGAGCAGGTCCTGTGGTTAAGAATGTTTATATATATATATTTATATATATCCATTTAGCTCAGCAGGGATATAATGTTATACATACATCTGTGTGTCACTTCCTTCAAAGATCCTGGACACTTTACATCCTTTGAGAATATAACTGCACCATACAAGCACCTGCAAACAGTAACATTAACTTAACCAATTCTTAATCTCCCCTAAAGTGTTGTCATCTGTTACAGGACATCCTTTGCTTGGAGGGCTCTGTAAAAGGCAGCTTTCATTGCTGTCATGAATGATAATGGCAACAACAAAGGACTTCCGAGGGCAAGCTATTTCAGAATGAGATGCTTGAGTAAGAATGCTAGTCTCCACGACTTACCCCTGACATCCCAGGGAGAGGAAAACCTGCTAGTGCCCTCTCTGCCACTATGTATTTAGGCAAGCACACATTTCACCTAGACAGGATGAGCCTGGAAATAATGAGGACTCGTGGCACAAAAAGCCTTATAGATAATTAACAGAATCTTGAATTGGGCCTAGAAGGTGACTGGCAACCAAAACAGCACCTGCAACCAAGATGTCCCTTTGCTGTACTAGTTTTCACTGGTCAACAAGTGGGCAGCCACATGGTACCCCTGCTGTAATCCAGTCATTTTCAAAAGCAGCCCCAACATAGCACAAGTTGCAGTAATCCTTTGGGCCCAAGATATTAGCAATTTTCTGTGGGACTGGGGTGATCCTGCCTCCTGCTTTTCTCCCTCAGCAGCCAAGAACCACAGTGGGCATCTAGATAATACAATAACAGTAGCCATCCATAGTGTACCATATAAGTCATTTTTCCACAATAGCCATTACTCATTGTTGGAAGAAAAAGAGCATACCTCGCCAAATTTCTCTTAGAAGGCAATAGGCATTCCTATCCATTGAAGAGATGAAGATGGCAAAACGGTTACACTGCTCTGCCAGGCTACAGTGGCTTGAATAAGTTTGCAAGTTTAGGCAAGGCCAAAGCCTTGGCTGAGATCTTCCTCTCTTTTCCTTTGCAGAGATATCCAGCGCATTGGCATCAGCCTGGTTGGTCATCAGAAGAAAATCCTCAACAGCATCCAACTCATGCGGGTCCACCTCAATCAGCTTGAACCTGTTGAGGTCTGACAAACTGAGAACAATCCGTTCCCCTTAAAACACATGGAGAATCAAATGAACATTTTGCTGTCGAAGAGAGGCAGAGCAATCCATTTCAGGCATGGATGGGAGCACAGGAAACATTGCACTCCACTTCACAGACCAGAGAAAATTTATAGAGAGTCTTTGCTTGTTTTCTTTATTTTTTTATTATAACTTGAAACACTACAAATCCTGTGTCATTTAGAGATGGGTGGTATTGTACATTTGGGGTGGGGTGGGCTGATAGTACACAGGGTAGAGCTGAGAAGGTAGCTTTGGAATTGGAAATGCACTCACTGCCAATTCGATGCCAACGTATGGGATTGAACCCGTAACAGAAACAGACACCTCAGAAGATTCTACTTTGGACTAGCGGCCTGTAAATGGCAAGTTTTAAGCTGGAGCAAGCAAAGTTGAGTTTAATATAGTGTTGAAAAGACTGGGTTGCCAAAAGAGACCCCTTGAAAGCTTTTGTCCAGCTAGTGGAATTCGGTGATGAGAAGAGCATTGCACCAACTTTTTCTTTCGGGCAGTTTTGATTAAACAGACACAAAGCAAGACAGCCTGAATGCTGTTTCAAGTAGTGCATTTTGAATGCTGTTCAAGTTGGCAGAGGTGGACAAATCCAAATCATGGGACAGAGTCTAGACCAAGGGTCTCTAACTTGTGGCCTAGGGGACAACTGCCACTCTCCAAATCATTTTCTGTGTCCTGCAACAATGCTTAGCCCAGCAAGGTCAGGGCACTGAGCAGCAAGGAGAAGAAGAAGAGCAGCTCAGCAGCTACTTCAGCCCCATGACCTCACAAGGTGTCCTTGTAGGCCAGGTTGCGTAGAACATGCCCAAAGTCTCTCTTACAAGCAGCCCTTCTGAGACTTCCAGTTGCTCTCACATTGCACCATGGATGCTGTTTCTGAGTTGGTGCTAAATTCTGCTGGCAGGAGCAGCAAGGAGGCAAGGCATAGCCAGGAAAAGAGGTCAGGAGGTTGGGGCTGTGTGAGGGAAGAAAAGAGGAGGCAGTTGAGAGAAGGGTTGCAGCTGTCTGCCCTATTGGAAGGCTCTGTCTGATGGGCAAAGCATGGGAAGGACAGAGGGCAAGCAAGCAAGATCACTGCCAGAATGGGAAAGGAAAGGAGAAGTGGGGGGGGGGGGAGAGACCAAAGGAAAGATGTCCCTCTTCAGCAAGGAGAGAGAAGAAAGAAGGGATACAGCTCTTGATGGGATGGCTTTCCTACTTTATATCATCCTAGGTATGATCATGAAGAAATATTGCATATCAGCGCAGTAATAAAAACCAAATATTGGTGTTCTAGTTAATGAAACAAATGCTGCCAGCTAAGTAGCCAAAGTGAAATGGCTGTTTTGCAGCACTGTTTTGCAAGTAGCTCTGTTTCACGGTACCTTTTATATTTAATAAATTTATGTTTAATGGCATAGCGCAATACTCTTCATTTTTTTTTACTTCCTAGATACTTTTGAATCACGGTATGAGAAGGGTGAGGCCCTCAAGCTAATGAACCAATCCCATGCAGCACTCATCCGAATTGAGTCTGAGCCCCTGGGTCTAGATGTACCGCAGTTCACTTGAATGGGATTTGCACTGGATAACTTTGTTGTGTATTGGGCCCCATAGTATTTGGTAACAGCTTGCTGGGGGCATTTGGAGTGTTAGTCTTAGGACCCAAAGCATTTTGGGCCTCTCGTGGATTGGTGTTGATCCTCTGATAGGATGTCAACAGCCTAGTTGAAGTAAGAGTAGGTAGCAGTACAGTATATCTGTCTCTAGGAAGATAAAAAGTCATTCTTTGCAATTTCCAACTGGATGTGGAGACCACAGAAACTGAAATAAAACATTTTACCAAAAATACGTTGACAAGACTTTCTTTGAATGTGGGATTACATTGATTTTCTGGGAGTTGAAAGAGAGCAAATGGTTTGCACAAGAAAACGATTGAGGGTCCGGTCCACATTGAGGCTGGATCCATTGAGAACAGGGTGGATGTGAAGCAATATCTCCGACCATAAAGATAACCCAGATCTATTTGGGATGGGAGCAGCAGCAGTCATTAATTCTTCAGGACTCTAAATCTCTATCCATCCTGATGCATTTTTCTGGAACCGAATCTCATTCTGGCAGAAAAGTCCCTGGAGGGTAGATGCGTATCTGAGAAAGAAAATCTCTCTTTCTGTCTCACTCACATATACGTGTGTGTGTGTGTGCGCGCACACACACGCATGCACAGAAGATAGATGGCTCAAACATGGTGAAATCAACATACACACATGACTGTCTCAAGTGAATGTTCCGATTTCCCACTTTTAGCTATACACTAGTGAATGCCAACTGTCATCTGTAAACATTCATCTATTTTTCCTGAATCAATTGTACACATTCACTGACACATCTGACAACTTAGCAGCTTGTTAGTGCATTGCTGCATGTGATGTGAGTGGATTAGCTGAATTGTTCCTGGAATGACCTTGAGGTTATTTTTGAACTGCATCAAATAGATTCGTAGTTAACCTCTCCTCTCCACAAAAATGAAAGGACTGGGGGGGAGGGGGGGAAAAGCACTTGGCCATGCAAATGGACATCAACTTTGCTCACTTATATTTAGAATATTTATTTATATTTAGGTACCGTATATGCTAAAACTTTAATAAAAGTAGAGGATAATCCAAGAAACAATAGGGTTTACAAATATTAGTTCAGACAATATTTGCTATTATTAATGGGGACACCATAGTAATTCTCTGTGAAGTCTGCCAATTTGTAAACATGGAAGCCACCATTCCGCCAGTGCTGGGTGTGCTGAAATTTCACAGACAGACACACAAATACAAATGAAACTTGTCTGGTGCTGCAATACATTTATTCTGTAATTTGTGCACTACACACACACACAAACATATACCCCCATGACATACATACATGGAAACATACATGTGTGTGTAACTATATGCATATTGTAAGCAATGATTCAGACACAGCACTTAGCTATTACCTTATTTTGTACTACTAATCACCTGGAAAAGATGCTGTGAATGAAGAGATTAGCATTTATTTAGAAGACTTGATTAAGATCCCCTTCCCCAAACCACGATCCCCTGATCTCTGCACACAACCTGCTACTAGATAGCAACTCCCATCCCCAGTGTCACAAAGGCAATATTATTAGCCTGGAAAAAAAATCAGTGAATGTTGCCAGGATCATCCCTTAGTAACCAAAGCACAGAAATATTCAGTGAAGACTCCTGCTATTTTAGATATGTGATGTTTGTAGGTTGTCATAACATGACATTGTTAATGTAGCAGCCCACCACAAAGAAGTTAGCAGAACATGGATTGATTCGCAAGGGATTTATTTGTGAGTATATACATTACACAGCAGTACAAAGCAAATGATTACTTCATCTTCAGGATTATATTTTTATTCTACTAAACTTTTGCCCTGAGACATTTGTGCTATAACATCTGACTGTTGTCAGTCATACTTTTTTTTTTCTCATGATGCTTTCCATTCTCTGTGATTAAATGGCCCAGGTAGATTTTCTTGCAAGAAATTTCTATACCTGTAAATGTAAAAAATTGGAAATAAATCCACTGGCTTGGGAGGAGTTGCAATAGGGAGCATGACTGCTCTGCATTGGGGAAAACTGGACATGATCACTGTGATGGACATTTTCCTAAACAAGACTTCAATTTACAATAGATAGCAAGGAACAACAGCAGGACCTCAGGAAATGACAGTCAAAATTGATTCCATGCTGGACAAAACTGTTTAATGTAAGCCCCTCATTAAAAAAAAAAAAGAAAAAAGCTGGGCTTGCATGGCAGTGCTCTCTTCACCATTTTGTTGACGTTTGTTGCTCTCTACCCTACAGATACCACTGAGTAGCAATTTTGGAGCCGCCATCTTTGTCTCCCCCCCCCCATAAGCTCCTAAAACTTAATATGTTGTTACCATACTGTTGGAGAAAATGGAAGATTCTGAGCTCTTTGCTTTTCCTCATTCTTTTTCTCAGGTTTTATCCTAAGCATTAGCATTTACCTTATTTTCCATGCTAAGACACCCTCATCTTCTACAAAAAAGCAATTGGGAGAATGCTGTAACAAAGCTTTTTGCTCTCTATTGGGTTGAATAGAGAGCAGAAAGCTTTGTCACTGTATCACCCCCATGCTCAGCCTTAGCTTTTTTGTAGAGGGGAAGGAGTTTTAGCATGGAAAATAAGGTAAATGCCAAAGCTTAGGATAAACCCTGAAAAAAAAAAAAGAACGAGGAAAGGCAAGGAGATATCCTTTAAAAAAAACAACAACCCCGAATCAGCTCAGAATTTTCCATTTCCTCCAAGAGTACAGTAACATATTAATTTTATCACTCTCATAGGAGTGGGGAAGAAAGGAGTAAATGCTTGCTTCTACATATTAGTTGAGCACAAAACAGGGAAACTTAAATCTTCCAACAGAAAAGAGAGGCCCAGAGGAAAGGACGTGTGGGGCAATAAGAAAGGGAACACAATGTGTTGTTGGTGTGCGTTCTGCCAATAATTCCATTACACTTTCACTTTTCTCGTAGAAGCAAGGCCAGTCCGTAAGCAGATTCCATGGAATGGACCGCTGTACTGTAGTCCTCAGCAAAACTGTATTCTTGGCTATTCAAAACCAGGCTACAGGGTTGAAATGAGGGGTCATTGGTGCTCTCTGAGCTTGCTTGTTTTCTTGCAAACATTTCATTACCCAAACTAGACAACAGATGATGTTACCTAGTTTGGATAATGAAACATCTGCAAGAAAACAAGCAAGCTCAGAGAGCCCCAAGGACCCCTCATTTCAACCCTGAACTGCAAATATTCTCCTTTATTGGCAGGTTACATTTATTCCTAGTTGCAGAGTACTTTGTGCTAGCTAGAGAATCCAGATTGCAGTGGGAATGTATATATAATACTTGTGAGAGGGCATTCGTTCAATTCATGCTGATCATTTCCCACATCACAGCCGTAGCAGTGGGAATCAGGACACTCCTGGGAAC